TAGTCCCAGTTTCTTGGGAGGCTGAAGCAGGAGGATAGGTTGAATCTGAGAGTTTGAGGCCAGGCTGGGCAACACAGACTCAGTCTCAAAATTAATTAATTAATTAATTAAAATAAATCAGCATTGCAAATCTATGCTGATTCAGCTGTTCCAAGTTTCTTCTAGTAACTTCTTCCTAGTAAAGATACAACCTAGGGATAGATATTGAAATAGTGAAAAACAACTGCTTAAAAATCAGTTGAAGAGGGCTGTGGTTGTGGCTCAGTGGTAGAACGCTTGCCTAGCATGTGGAGGCACTGGGTTCGATTCTCAGCACCACATGTAAATAAATAAAGGTCCATTGACAACTTAAAAAAAAATCACACGAAGAAGCCATTTTGGGTATTTGATGTCTCTTAACAAATGTCTCATTGTATTACTCTCTCAGGATTTTCCTTCAAGAGCAACACACTCTTTAATAAAAATCAGGAGAAAGAAAAGGAAATCAAAATTAAATGCCCATCATTTCACTTTACCATACTTGAATTTTGAAAATCTACACGGGAGTCCAAAAGCCCCATTTCTACCTTATTAACATCATATTCACCTTTAATATGTATTTCAGAAAGGAGAGCCCCAAGCTCTACAGATTAATTATTATCATTAGAGGAAATTTTCAGTATGCTACACTTGGGTTTTGGGGTGTCATGTTAAGGGCGATGTATCATACTGAAATTTGGGATGGGTAAAACTTCTATATATTTTTTATAAGAAAGGTSTGTGGGGAAAGAACTATTATAAACCTAGACTTGTTCTCAACAACCAATTTTAGGAAAGAATATAGTTTATACAGAGGATCTTTAAACTATCCATAAGCATATAGTCGTTGGAAAACATTGCATGCCTTTAGGAACACATACTTCAGTTTGAAAATCATGAATCTATTCTCCCATACAGATCCTAGCCTGACCCCATCCAACATTTTTTACCATGGGAGGAGGATGACTTAATAGTTTCAAAAAGGCCCAGGAAAGGCTCAAATGAGATCGCAGCAGACAAGTTTTGGAATCAGCATTAAGATGCCTCTGTTTCCAATCTGTTGTCCATGGTACTCCAAGTGCTCCAACTATCAAAACAAAGAGTATAAGTCTCCTAGTCTTTTTTTTTTTTTTTTTTTTTTTTGGTGAAAATAAGTGCATCACCATCCCTTAGAACCAGAGGATTAGTGTTGTAAACTGCCAGACCAACAGAGGCGGGCAGTGATGTAAGTGCATGAAGCAGGCAGGGTGTGAGAAAAGAGTGGTGAGGGCTGAATCAAGGAGGGGGCGTGCCTCATCCAAAGGAAGAGACTTCATCTCAGCTCCAGTCCCACTATTCCTAGATCTCTCATTTTCAATCCAGATTTTCATGCAAAATCTTCCAGTTTGTCAATAATGGCAAATAAATTAATATTTTTATAAAACACATTGTAAGCAAAATAAAACAAGCCTATAGGTTATACGTAGTCCATGATTGTTGGTTGGCAATTTCCACCCAAACATAACATGGTGTTATGTTTGCCTCTGGTGAAAGAACAACGCAGTTTGGGGTCTCTGACTCCAGCCAGCTCCAATTCTTAGCTCTGCTTCAGCAGTTATTTACTCTAACAAGTCTATAGCTGATCCTCACCCATGATTCCTGTACCTTTAAGGAGCACTGCAGGGTCAATCATCTAATATTTCAAACTTTTTGGAGACCAAGGGAGTTGTTACCAGTGAATCCCACAGTGCACGATTTGCTCAGAGAACTTTAAACATCTTTTATTTTAGGTTCCTTGTTTTTAAAGCTTCTAATAACATTCTATAAATATCTTTTGTGGGGTTGATAGCACTTAACGATTAATAAATGGAGGCTGTGCAACCCAAATATTATATAGTTCCTGGTTGCTGTCCTCTTCTACMTTTAGTCTCTTAGCTCCAAAGGACTGGAAAACTTTTTCAGCAGAAAGAGGTAGCTATGATTCTAGTTTTACTTCTTTTTATACCTGACCCCTGCTCTACAATTACCGGAGTGCTTTAACTTCAGATAGTGTGTTGATTTAAAAAATATGTCCAAACATTCTTTGGTTTTCTTCCAAGAGGTACAGTTTAATTCCCTTCTTCCTTTAGTGTGGGCTACACTTAATGACTTGCTTCTAATGAGCAGAAAATGATAGATGATGGTGCATTGTGAGAATAGATCATAGGCATTTTGGCTTACTCCTAGCCCTCTCTTGAATTACTTACTTTTGAGGAAGCTGGAACTTAAGAAGACACTCAAGCAGCTCTATAGAGAGGCCCAWGAATAGAGGAACTGTGGCATCCTGCCAACAGTCACAGGACTGAGCCATAGTGRCAGCCGGTTCTCCAGCCCCAGTCAAGCCTACAGAGGACTGTGGTCCGTGCTGACATCTTGACTGCAACCGCAAGATGGTGAGCAGTAACTATTAGTTAAATTGTTCCTGGATTCCTGATCGACAGAATCTGTGAGATGTGAAACTTTCATTGTTCCAAGATGCAAATTGTGGTTGAAATTTTTTTTTTTT